AAACCCAGGAGGGCCACGCCCATATTGACCCAATAACTTAACCGACCCCTTGCTTCTGAAGGTCGTAGAGACTTCTAAATAAGCTTAAACCAAGCGGCATATGCATGTTTATATAGGAGTTACTGAGCAACACATGGCCTAAAATCCTTACTTTTCGAGAAATTTGCCAAAAACCATTTTGGGCGTGGTGCTGAGCCCATTTTCGATAGGATCGTGATAGAGTCTTTAGACAGGGTGCAAAAGAACCGCAATTAGCATATTAATATATGACTTACGAACAAACATATGCCTTAAAGTGCTTACTTTTTCAGTTATTGGCGAGAAACTGATTTTCGGTTCCAGAAATCATGCTAAAATATGGGCATCTCGTAAATTGGGCTATGAAGCCCCTACAGATTTTTGAATGAGTGCAAATTGTGCAGAATGGCCATGTTTATATACAACTTATGAAGCAACATGTACCCTAAAATACTTACTTTTCGAGTTATTTGGGGGAGAAACATTGTATTATGTCCATTTTCTACCTGTAAAATACAGTCTCACGAGCTACTCTGTGCGCGCAAGGGACTTTATGACGTCATCGCCAAAATAATACAAACGCTAATTACACGCGTTAGAGAGCAGTTAGAGATTTAGGAATGTCGACTCGTTGCTTAGTTTGCTATTTGTCACATTCTGTCAAAATATGAGGATAATTCATATGACAAATTTTACACTGCAATCATAGTCGACGATAACTAAGTATCTTCTAATTCTTTTAAATCTGAGGCATATATAATTGATGTATCGAAAGAATTTTCCCTTTTTTACCACCTTACCATTTTGATTGATTTTGCACATGACTGACATGTTTTAACTGGAGAAAGGGTTCGCACAGTGGTAGTTTTATAAACCACTTTTAATTTATTGACCTATTATACCTAGTGGTAGTTTTATAGACCACATTTAATTTATTTACTTATTATACTTAGTATTTATTTTTGGTGACTGTATCACCCAGTTTTTTCATTTGATAATTGTACATTTTATTGACGACCGCGACACATTGACTGAATGTTATTTTATATTCTAATTTATATTCTAGATATTTTATTTATTTTTCAACAGACGACAACTTCCTGTTTTTTCTTCTATATTAGTTACTCATATCTCTTTTACAGACTTTTTTACAAGGACATTGACAGATGATACTCACATTAGGCATTCATTATTGCATCTAAATTATTTCACTTGCATTAGGTTTAGAAATTTATTCTCTGGTTAACAGATTTCAAATGTTTAATTAATTTGTAGTATGACAGTAAGGTATTTAAGAAGTTATTTAATTTTGCTTGGGCTATTATATTGACTATTGAGGTTTAATGATGATATGGAATTTGAATTCTATATAAATTTACACTATGTGGTTGGGGCATTTTGCATAGTAAATATGGTTACTACTCCTATATATCATATTATTTGATTGGTATTCGATTTCTGATTATTTCTCTAGGAATATGATTATTATATCTCAATTTGGCTTTAGGTAGGGTGCCCCGCTAAAAGAACTGGATTCTTCCAGGAAGCATCCCGTGCACAGACCTTGGTCTACATATATATTAAATTATTAACCATTCATTCTGTATGTGCACGAAAATTTATTTCAATCAATCAAAACTTTTTTTTCAGTTAACTGGTCCTTTAATAATAAATTATTTTAGATTTAATAATAATAATGACCTACTGTAAGTGTGACCCAACACTTACCTTTTCTCGACCTTGATCAGAAAAACCATTCCTCATGATCATCATACCTCAACAGTCAACACAAGCCAATGCTTGATGATTTTTTTCCATGACGAAAAATATTTGCAATTCCTCAAAATTAACTCCGATTTGACAAGCTATTTATAATATCAAATTATGCTACAAAGATTATTTTTTCACTGGAATCAGTTTATAAAGTTCTTCCAAATGTTGAGCAAAACAACACCAAAATTCAGAAATATTTTTGAAGAGCCAAACCCTACTGTAGTCCATCTTTTGATCAAGAGTCTTGTCATAGTAACCAGCTAGGGATCCAATTATTTCCGGGTTGCATATCATTTTATTGAACATAAGCATCATCTCTTGGGGATCAACTGCACGTTTTCTTCTTTTCAGGTCTTCAACTAATGTAAAATCTATTTCTTTTGAGGACTTTGGCACACGCACACCTCGTTTCTGCCTAAGTCCTGTCGTGCAATAGTTGGGGGATTCCGGACAATATGTTGCTATGCTTGATAAAAACAATTCCACATTTTTTCCCTCGAGTAAAATGTTTACAGCATTCAATATACCCTTCAACAACATACTGGAGGTTTGACCTTTGAGAGTGTATCGAATGTACAAAAGACCTTCCCGAAAATTCCATATGTTATTTGAGCCACATAAATTTTCAAACAACATAGAGGACATATTTTCTTCCAAGCAGGTTCCTGTATCTGCCTTGTTCAATTTCTGAACACTCGAAACTATTTTTGCAGCTGCACCAATAGCTGCTTCAATCATTTTATCTCTGTAATCCCCTGGAAAGTCCCTAGTTTGAGCACAGATAATGTAGTGTGCCATAATAACAGATCCCTTCAATAGAGTATTATCGTCATGTGTTGATAAGCCAAGGGGCCAATAAGGATCACCAGTGCAGAGATAGGCTTCCAGGATTTTAGCAGGTATTTCTGCGTCGAATGAGGCTCTGAAACAAAATAATAATTGATGCGCTTCTCTTCAATGATGTGATTATTCTTGTAATTTTACCATTAAAATTGAGGCTCTGATTAGATCTCACAAACTGACACTAGAAAACCTCAAAATGATCAATTCTCCAAAGTTGATTGAAACAAACAGATCAGACTTGAATTTCAATGTATAATATTTAAAGTGGACATTGATTAAATTGTTAGCTATTAAATATTTGATAATAATCTCATTAACCAACCGTGAGTGCGGCAAAATTAAGCTGATGATCATCCAAGTTGTGGCACTTGTAAGTCCCATGATTGATGGCTGCTAAACATCGACCATACTAGGCTGTGTGGCGTGCATATGAAAACTAAAAATGCGATAATCTTAGAACTACAGCTGTACAAATTGATCTAAGATCTGAAAACGAGTTTATTAAATTCTATATCTATAATTTACACTTACAGCTGCAATTTTTGCCTATACTAGCACCTGGATAGTGCTAATGAGGTAGTCTACTTTGACTTTTCTTTCTTTTTTTTAAGGGGGGACCCCCAACCCATGTAGCTGAAACACCCCACAGCAAGTAGACCAAAGTGGCTCTTGCTAGTGAAAAGTGTATCAACTACCCGCCGAGGCGGTGGGTTGAGAGTCTACTTTGACTTCAAAAGAAATTTAAAATAAAGGAGAAAAACATGATGCACACTTCACAGATGGTCAGTCTTGAAATAACTGCCAACCTTTGAATTGATACCTAGAGTCTTTTTTCGTAATAGTTTTTGTTTTGCCGATTGCCATCTGGTGTCCGTTAACGCAACATTGAACAGCTACAGTATCATAGTTCCTTGACCCAATCACATTTATTGTGCCAGGCTACCGGTTTAAAGCTAGAGCAATTGACGTAAAAAGTGACACGTTACCGACAATATTCTGATCGTCAGTACTTCCGGCTCGATCGGTTTGTTTAACCATAATAGACTTGTTTAGCCAATTGATTGTAAACTGCGAATTCTAAATAACCATTATATAAGAGGGAGCGAAGGGACAGGGACAAAGGACTGGGAATTAGTAAGTGTCCAGCACTGGTCCAATAACAACAGCTATTTTAGGAAAGTCACTTTCTTGTAATTCCAAAGCTCTCAGAGGTTGGAACAAAGGGCTTACTAGTTCACAGCCAGAGCTATTGCCGAATTCACAACTTTTGAAGAATTCACGAAATTTGGTTGTCAAATATGTCAAATATCAGCTCATCCAGGTACAGTAAAAATGAGCAACATCTGCCATGTGTTGTTAAGTGAAAATAGCAGAGCTAAATCATTTACTCAATCAGTGAACTTCTAAGGGTGTCTGCCAAGAACATCCAATAACTTCAAAATATTAATCAGATATTACCAGCTCCATAGCCTACTAGTGTGCCGCTATGATTTATCATCCAATAAGTTATTAATTTTCCATAATTTATATTTACAATTTTTGTAGACCTGTAGTTACCTGAGTCGTACTTAGTTGCACCTGCACTGTCTGGCATTGACTTGGTAATTTTCTAGGGGCCGCCAGTTTGAGGTACTGTGCTAAAGCGACCAGGATGACCATCTTGCACAAATCGAGCTAATTAACTTAATTTTTGGGGGAAAAGGAGAGGCTCAGTATATAATCAAGGTACCCAATATAGAGAGGCTCGGTATATAGTATAGAGGTTTGACTGTAATATATATAGACTAGCATCGTACGGTGCTTTGTTCTAAAATTATAAATCTAACACTAAATAGGATGAGCAGTGTTTTGTGGCGTCATTTTAAGACAAATAGGACTCTATAAGTCTGTGGACCCGCTCATTCGAAACGAAAGGAGCTTTGTTCGGGAAACTAAAATTTTCATATAATTTGATGCTTCAAGTTTTGATATGCAATACAAATAATCCTGTACTGTTTTACTGGAGGGGGTTCTTGAAACAGATACGATATTTAGTTTCAGAATCTTTTGACGACGATTAACACATGTTTATTGAAAGCTTCTACAAGTTAAATCATCGTATCTCTTATATGTTTTTAACCCAACTCCACTCAGTTTTAAATAACATGTGTTAAATGTAAAATAACATATTATGTTAATCTAATCCAGCTTATATTTAAATGTCATATTCAGGCAGCATTCTAAGGCAGCATACTATAGCATACATATAATTTTAATTTTTATGTTAAATCAATTTCTGTTGATTAAAATCTTCTCATTACAAAGAAGGTCGTTTCATTGCCCAAGAGCTGTCGAAATCCAAAATAAGATATTCTTACTCCGACCTCATTACATCTTACATCCTTTTTAATGCAGATTTTAGTGTGAATGTGTTTTAATGTGAATGTGTTACGCCAAAGATTTTAAAGATATGCCGTCTTACGCCGTTGTTACGACGACAACTAAGTTGCCGATTGCTGCAACGATGAAAGGACCTGGCCCTGCCAAATACGGACTACCTTCTTGTTTAGGTTTGTGAGACGAGTAATTTATTATCACTGTAGCTGTTCATGAATATATCACAGAAAATATAAACTGTTGTTCACTCCTAACAAATTATTATTAATTTTGCATAAATTAAATTGAGCAATAATCCAATGATCCTAACTTCAGGTCACCCTGGACATGATATCAGAAAGTCCAAATCACCAGCCTTCTCGTTTGGGCGGCGATTAAAGACCGTAACCAGCAGTGACAGTCCGGGGCCCGCCTATATGTTTCCTGCTCGCATGACGCGTCAGGGTGGGGACGGTGCTCCTGCGTACAGTTTACATGGCAGACCCAAAATGGCCAAACCTCTAGCTACTCCTGCACCAGGTTTCCGTAGAAAATTATACATGCTCTAGTATAGGGACTAGGCTGTTTATTGCTGTGCTGTGATTATACAGTGTTTCATTACATACAGCAACGTTCTCATTTACATATATATTGTATATCATTGCTTTTCTAGCTTATTTCGAATTGAACCTTTTTTGCTTTCTCAAATGATTTAGATCAATTAGTTTGATAAACTGCCTGAAAATCTGATAACATTTATAAGATTTAGAAAACTGATCATTGTGGTCCGTATTACATGTATAAGTGTTCATGTTTTCTAGAAATACTGGGAATATTTCTGTGCATACCAGCTAACTAATATGATTGTTTTCTGCAGCTGGCAAGAGGATTTTGATAATGTGTCTCTATATTATGGATTACTTGCTTGCTGGAATTGCATCTTCAGGGCACACGAGATAGCATGCTCCGTTTAGAACATCTGGCGTAAATAAACGTACTATATTATGTCAATGTGCTTAAGGAATACGGTCATGGCCTATGAAAGCCGAAAAGCTGTTGTTATTCATTGTGATCACTGATCACTTTCATGATCTTTTGCATATAAGCTTGAGTATAAGCTGCACTCGAAAAAAATAAATATGCAATGGCCAATGTTCATCATTATTCATTATGTTTTTCAATTTTCATGCAAAATCATAATTAAATAAGTAAATATTATAAATTCCAATGTGACCTGACAAAAGCTCCAAATATTGCCAGTGATGGAAAAGTTTATCACATTTGTCCAATATTCGACAGGTCACATGTGAAGCTACTTGTCCAGAATATAAATTCTAGAATAGAAGTTCTAGAATAGAAGTTCTAGAATAGAAGTTCTAGAATAGAAGTTCTAGAATAGAAGTTCTAGAATAGAAGTTCTAGAATAAAAGAATAGGGGCTTCGAAATCGGCCGCTAATATGATGACCACACGTCACCATAGTTTTTTGTAAAATTTCCATTTATGAGGGCGGGGTCTGAAAATAACAAAATCTTGCTGTCGTTATGTGTAAAAGTCCATTAAATAACAGTGGTTCTCATCAGTCACCATGTTTCAGGGCATTATAGACCGGAACGGAGACGTAACAGTGCTTCTGGATACTCCTTCGGAATGAGGACTAAAACCTTCACCCACGATAGCACGCCCTCTCCCAGTGCTTACACTATACCATCGTATGTTGGTAGTGGAGGTAAGTTATTTTGGTATTCCAGTTGAATGTTCTGGTCTGAGTGGGTAGAACTATATTGTAAGATTAATTAAAGGTTAATTGTCTATTTTTTTGGTTGCAATTAACATACTGTTTGTAGGTTGAAAACGATAAATATTTTAAAGCTCCTGAAATAAACAATAAATCTGTTGTATTATTCAATTATATGTTTCCAGAGCGTTCCTCCAGAGCAGTTTGTAAGTTATTAGTGCCTGTGATGTGTTAAGTGAAGCCACTATTGTTCGCTTTACGAACGTATTGGTTTGCGGTATAATAACTTGCACAATCACTCATTTTCTCGTGATTATTAAGACTGGTTTTAATGCTGCCCAACTATAATGAATTGTTTGCATGTGCACAATTTGATGATAAGATGATAACTCCACATTTTAAACAGAGCTTAACCACAGTTCATATTTTAACAGCAATCTGTCGTGAACAGTCTGTACAGTGTACATTAGATAGCAAACAGGAAACTATTATTGAAGACTGTCGTGATGTTATAGGCTTTTAAAGTACTTATTGTGGCCTATATGCAAGGGATCGTTAAGTGATAAAGCAATGATATGAGCAAGCAGATCTCAAATTTGTTATAGAGTTGGATGTAAGATTATAATATGCATGTGCAAGTGTTTGTGTAAAGGTCACTTTTCACAAGTGTGTCATTTTAAATGGTTATGTTCTTGAGATGGGGCTAGTTTAATAACTTTATTAAAATCCCTGGCAGATCTCCAAATCATCTCCATGTCATTTTGTAATGAAGACGTGAGCCGTGGAATTTAAGGGTTTTCGTATTGGTAGTGCCGCTCCGTAAATCTAGTGCGACACGTATACTCTTTGTTTCGAAGTCCCGACAAAAAAAACACCCTCTGTCGCACTACAGTAAAGTTGTCGGGCCCCCAGGAGGTTTTTGTAAAAAAAATA